GCAAGTCACTTAACCCCATTGCCTAGCCAAAAAAAAAAAAAGAGAGAGAGAGAGAGACTATCACCTACCATGTCCTGGACACTGACTCTTAATATAGCCTAATATTGCATTAGCTTCTTGGCTGCCATATAACGCTTTAGCTCGGTTAAACTTCTGATCTACTAAAACCCTCCAGATATTTTTTCAAACAAACTGCCATTTATCTATGCCTTTCCCATTTTGTACATGCTCATGGAACTCATTCAATTGTGAGACTTCACACACTTAAGTCTATTACATTTCACTGTATTAGATTTGACCCAGTGTTTTAACTTTTCAAATCTTTATTGGTCCTGACAGAGGAAGGAAAGGGAACAAACATTTATATGCCAGGCACTGTACTTAGCACTTTACAAATATCATCTCATTTAATTCTCACACAACAACCCTTCAGGGTAGGTGCTGTTATTATCCTCATTTTACAGTCAGGGAAACTGAGGCAAATGGAGGTTAAGGCTTACCCAGGGTCACATAGCCAGTAAGTATCTGAAGGTAGATTTGATCTCTGATCTTCCTAGCACTCTATCTACCACACTACCAAGCTGACAATTAACCAATGTTATCCTTTTAAACTTTGTGACAACTACATATTAAAAAAAAACAAACATGCCATCTATCTTATCCAAGAGCAGATAAAAACAGGATCATGGATTTAGAAATAGAAGGGACCTTAGAGATCACTGAGTCCAACCCCTTAATTTTACAGAAGAGGAAACAGAGACTAGAGGAGTCAAGTTACTTGTTCAGAGTCAAGTTTAATGGTCCAGTCACTGTGCTATGGCTAAACAACCCAGAGCCAACTCTGTATCCCTAGATTAATCTACTAGGAAGCTATTCCTAAACTGACACTGAATCATTAATAATTCTTTCTTGGGTTTAACCAATTGACTAATTCAAAACCCAAATACCTTCACTATTATCTAGTTCTATCTCTCCATCTTTTCTCTAATAATAGCATGAGAGACTTTGTCAAATGCTTTGCTAGGGGCAGCTAGATGGGGCCTTGGAGTCAGGAGGACCCGAGTTCAAATCTGACCTCAGACACTTGACACTTACTAGCTGTGTGACTCTGGGCAAGCCACTAACCCCGATCGCCTGACCAAAAAGAGAAAAAAAAGCTTTGCTAAAATCTAGGTGGGTTATATCTATAACACTTCACTGTTCTGCCAACCTAGTGCCTATGAGAGAACGAAATGAAGTTAGTCTGCCATGACTGTTCCTGGCTCTATATGGTTGCTTTTCTTAGATGTTCACTATTCATCTGTTTAATCATATGTAGGGATACAGAAAGGTGAGTTTTTTCCCCCTACTGACAAAAATACAGTACCAAGGTTAGTAGATTTTTGTAGCTGACAGATATACATAATTAAAATAGGAAGGGTGACCTGGAATGCGAAGGACATTGACTTTGCCTCCTTCACTTAGCTTCTTTTCTGGTTTCAATTTGTTGGCAATGACAAGCCAGAGGGAGTTTGGGCAACTTCCACCCCAAGTCAAGTACTAGTGAAGTACCACAGATGGGAGGCATTAAAGGAAAAGATTGAACCTTGGCTTCAGGGTACTCTTCTTGGCTTTGTCTTAGAGTAAGACGGCTCACAGCCTCTGGCTAGGACCAAAGAGCTGTCAGTGTAGGCTTGTGGTGGAGGGTACATGAGGATTTATAGTTACCACACATTATCAGGGAGGAGGGAGATGGCCCACAAGTGGCTTACGGGGAGAAATCTGGTGACCACTTAGCTAGTTGAGCACTGCCAGCCCACTGAGGCCCGGACAATACATTCAACAGAAAGAGCAGTCTGACAACAGTACCAGAGGACTTCAGAAGCCTTTTGGGGTTGAAGGTGTGAGTTGCCCTGGCCAAGAGGGTGTCTTGGTCACATGGGTTCCAAGAGTAGGCCTTTCCATACATGGTCCTTCATCACAAATGTTTTTTGTATGTGTTTTCTGTGCACATTCTCTGATTAGACATATTCTCTGTGTGCCTTCCCTTTACTGGTAGTTAGTAACCTGTGGGAGAGTGTACTCTATGGTCACATCAGGGAAATCTTCTCTTGTTACTTTATTTGCTATGCTGTTTTATTCAATGTTTTGTTTAAACTAATGTGTTCTTTGACTTACTAATAAAATATATATATATCACTAGAGACTAGTGAGATATAGGTGAGGAGGTGGTGACTCAGAGTATCTCAGACTCAGATAAGTCTATCTCCATTCCCTTTCTTCTTTTTGAAAATCAGAACATTAACCATACTTTGATCGTGATATATCTCACCCAATGTCTATGATCTTTTCCTTCCCTTCCCTTCTCCCTTCTCCTCCCCTTTCCCTTCCCCTCCCCACTTTTTGGGAAGAATATAGTTAATTCCCTACCTCTGCAAAGAAGGGAGGGAGGTGCATTTTCTAAACTCTTTTCCAGAGCCCTAGCTTGGTCGTTATAATTACACAGTCGTTGACTTCATTTAAAACAAACAACAACTCTTTCTTTTTACACTGTTATAATTGTTGTTGCTCACATCTTTTGGCTCCCTGTATGAGTGGGTATGTTCACAAGCTTTGTACGTCATTCGCTGAAGCCTGTTGTTAGTTCAAGATGGTGGAGACTTTCTGTTCCTTGCTATCTTAAACTTGATTAGTACATCTTGGGTATCAGTTCCTGTTTGGGTCCAGAAAAACCCGAACCTTATTGTGACAGATTATCTCTATTCTAGATATCCTTCCTGTTCCTGCCTAATAATGCCCCTTCTCTGGAACCAACCTTCCCCCCATCCCCCTTCTCCTCCCGGGTGCCCATATCTGGAATCTTGCTGGAAACTTGTAGCTTCCTGGCTAATTGGCACCTACCTGCCTGTGACATCAGAAGTGGGAAAACAAGCAGACATGCCTGCTAGCAAACCCATTCCTCTTTGTAAAACTACTGGCTCTTTTTTGCATTGCTGAATGACCCTGTTGTGTGAGATGAAGCCCAAGTATGTTGACATTAAAGTGAGAGGAGGGGTGGAAGCCTGGCATAACCTGGGCACTGTACCAGAAGCAGATCCTCTGGTTGAGTCATTGAACTCCTCCTTCCTTCTGTCATGAACTGAAGATGAATGCACCAAAAGCTTGGATTCTCCACTCCTGGCTAAGCTGTGGATGTATCCTGCCCCTCCAGAGTCTGGGTGTGTCCTTACCTTTCTGGTAACTCAGACCTCTCTCTCTCTATATCTATATCCTTGTTCCTTCTTTCCTTGGTCTTCTCTTTCTCTACCCAAATGGGTTTCTCTTAAAATGTGCCAGATAAAGGCCTATTGCTTTCAGCATTATTGGCTATTACTTCTGAGCATCTTTAGGTTCTCAAAAAACAGTTGCATCAGATTGGCACATCTTTCCACCACATTAAAGGTGCCTTTACCAAAGCAGGGACAATTTAATAAACAAGCATTCTCACTACTACAAGGCACAACACTGTTAGGGACGCTAAGACAAAGTGTTTAAAAGAGAGCTTATTGTCTACTGGAAGGATACAACATGTAAACACACATGAGTATTTGATTTAAAATTTTTTCAATAATATTTAACTTTTCCCAATTGCATATAAAGATAATTTTTAACATTCTTTTTTTAAAAACTTTGAGTTACAAATTCTCTCCCGCTGTCCCTCCCTCCCTTCCTCTCTTGTTTCTTGAGAAGGCAAGCAATTTGATGTAGGTTATACACGTGCAATCATGCAAAACATATTTCCATGTTAGTCGTGTTGTGAAAGAAGACAAAGACCAAAAGAAAAAAAACACACAAAAAATAAAGAAAGTAAAAAATAGTTGCATGAATTTTCAAGGAGAAAAAGAGTCCTAACAATAAAGGGGATCAGGAAGTGCTTCATAAGGGTTGCGGGACAGAAAGTGAATCTTAAAGGAAGCTTGAGGGACCAAGAGGCAGAGATGAGGAGGGAATGCATTCCAAGCAAGAAAAAACAGCATGAATAAAGACGCAGAGGTAAGAGATGGAGTATTGAGTTTGGGGGATGACAAAAACATCAATCTGGCTGCAATATAGAATACATAAAAGGGAATAATGAGAAGTGAATCTGAAAGGTAGGCTGAAGACAGATTGTAAAGGGCATTAAATACCCAGCTCATGAGTTTGTATTTTATCCTGGAGGCAACAGAGAAGGTTTTCTTGTGAATGATCCGACTTGAATTGTGGAATATAAAGATTATTGTGGCAACTGTGAAGAAGATTTGATTCTTAGGGAGAAACTGGAAGTCTGAAGTCCAATTAGGAGACTTGCAGTACTGTAGGCCAAAAAGTGATGAGGGCCTAAATAAGATATTGTATTGTGGAGGTACTTCACAACTGATTGGGTTTAGGGGTTGAACGAGAGGGAAGAATCAAAGACGTCTCTGAGGCTGCCAACTTGAATGAGCAAGAATGATGGTGCTCCTCCTCAGAAATATATCTTTTCTGATATCCTTTAATGCTAGTGCCTTTTCGCTAGGATTATCTCAAATTATATACTTATATACACACATACACATATTGCATATATGTGTGTATATACACAATCACACATAAATACACATGTATTTGTTTAAATGTTATCCCTACCACTAGATTCTGAATTTCTTGAAGGCAAAGGTTTTGGGGTTGGGTTTTTTTTTTTAGACTTTCTGTCTCCACTTCTTATTAGCTGCCCTGCTCAGATTGTATTCCACCATCATCATGTTCCCAGGCCAGGAAACTCATCATCCTGAGGGATTGTATCAGCTTTGGTACTCCCCTTCTTCAGTACCCTCAGTACCCTTTCCTCTGATTGGATGGCTGGAGAAAGGAGCAAAGGACACCCCTCCAAAGCCTTCATTGAAAAAGGGCTCACAATCCCAGAAGCAGGTCCACCTAGTGGGAGAGCAGCTTTAGCCACACCCCTAGGAGGGGATCATTTGGGAGAGGGTAGGTAGAAGATTAAGTGGATGATGGCAGCTGCATAGACACTGATAGACATTCTGAGGACAACAAAATACAATGAAGAAAAAGATCCTCAGGACTCTACAAGGACACCAACCCTTGGAACACAGAGAGGAGTTGCCTCTAAGGACACCTGTGTGAAGACTACAAGGGAGAAAAAGACTTCCAACCATCGGGAACTGTGTTTATCTTTTGGCCACATATGTTCTTTATCTTGGAGCCCCCTCTACCCAGAGTATGCCCCCACTTCATGGGGATGTTTCTGTAACAACTTAGCACAGTGTCTGGCATGTAGAGGGCATTAATAAATGCTTAGCAACTGAAAAAAAAAAAGAGAAAAAAGAAAAACGGCTCCCAGACCAGCCAACTCTTCGTTTCCCATCAGCACTCCTTAGACTGAACTTCACCATGTCTCCTAAGCCCAGGTACATTCACTCTCCCTCCTCCCCCTCTTTTCAGCTTTTGTGTATGTGTGTGTGTTTTCTTCCTTTCTTAGATTATAAACTCCTTGAAGGTAGGGACTGTATTTTCTTCTTACTATTTGTATTTCCAGTACTTAGCAAATAATAGGTATTTAATAAATGTTTATTGACTGGACTAACAGCACAATGCCTGGCACATAACAGGTGCTTAATAAATATTTATTGATTGACAATCCTAGCCCGGCACCTGGAAACAGGCACTTAAATGTTATTGAGTTGCTTTGGAGGAGGGACAAACTGAAGAAAATTAGTTCTATTTTATGGAATATCTGGTTGGAGCAGTACAACAGGCAGTTGGTTATGGGGGGTCAGGAGCTCAGGAGAGAGAATATGACTAGATACAAAGATCAAGGAGTCATCAGTATAGAGATGAGAATTGAAACCAAGGGAGCAAACCAGTGCGTATTAAGTAAATGAGTAGTGAATATACACTGAATTTTGCTATACAACAAGAAGCTTATGGAAAAATGCATCTGCATGATTAGTACTATCACGAAAGCAGGATAGGTTCTTTGCTTTTCTAAGCTACATCTCATGGATACAACCTATAATCTCCATGAGCTGGTAGTAAATGAATAGAGAGTATTTAAAAGACCTCTCATTAGTCATTCCTCTCTCATACAGTGTTAGCACTTAGGGGAAGGAATTTATCAGCCTGCCTAAATCCACAGTTTCAAAAGAAAAGATTGATTTTTCTGCAGTGACAAAAAATGGCATAGGGGATAATGGTGTGATTTGGTGGAAAGAACTCAGGACTTGGAATCAGGAGATCCCTGTTCAAACACTCAAGAACTACAGGATCAGAGGTAAGCCCCTTCACCTTTCTGGGCCTCAGTTTCCTCAGGTATAAAATGGAGATAATATTTGCACTACTTGCCTTGCAGAGAGGAATGAACTTCATAAACCTTTAAATCTTTATGTAAACACAAACTATAATAGATGTGTGTATAAAACAGGGATTCTTAACCTTTTTCAAGTCATAGACTTCTTCAGGAGACTGTGAAACCTATGGATCCCTTCTCAGAATGTTTTAAAATGCATCAAATAAAATAACAGGCTCATAAAGGAAGCCAATTATATTAAGGTACGGTTACAAAAATATTTTTTTAAAATAAGTTCATAGACCTGAGGTTAAGAACCACAGGCATATATGTTAGGAAGTGTTCGTGCATCCCCAAGAACAGCTGGCCTATATTTTATGCACACCTGAGTCTATGATAGAAGTGTCTTCTAAGTCTAGAAATGAAGACAGTCAGTCCTCTATCAAACTTGTGATTTATGATCACCAGAAGAGTAAGGGCATTTATCTATCCCCACCCCCTCACTGTCCACAAAATATAAATGTCTTCAGGGCAGGGTGTTTAATTTTCACATTTGTATTTCTAGTATCTAACACAGTGCCTGATACACAGTGAGTACTTAATGAACGTTGCTGCTTAATACATGCTTGTTCATGAGAGGTGGCTTGGAGTTTTAGCATGGTTAAAGGCTCACCTCGATTTCAAAGAGAGCCAGAGAGAACTTTGGGGAATTTCTGTAATTGCCATTTTCTTGAGGGGGGTGCTTTTTGAATTGTTGAGGTTGGAATCAGAAGGAACTGAGTTCAAATCCAGGCTTTAAACATTTAATAGTTGCGTGACCCTGGACAAGTCATTTAACCTCTGTTTGATTCATTTTCTTTCTCTATTAAAATGGGAATAATAATAGCACCTACCTCCCTTGGTTGTTGTGGATCAAATGAGACAATACCTGTAAAAAGCACTTAGCATAGTGCCCGAAATATAGTAGGTCCTTAATAAATGTGCATTCACTTCCCTTCCATCCCAATTTTGAGCCACATCTATAATTTCATTGGTGTGGGTTCAGCCTGATGAGGGAAGGAACACTGTCTACAACATAGATCAGCAACTCTTCAGTAACTTAGTCTAAAGAGTTGCCTTTAACCAACTCCTGGCTTGTAAACACCTTTCAGGTCTTTGGGGCCAGACAAGCAAGCCAGAAAAAGGAAGTTCTTGAAAAGTTTCCTTATCGAACAATGGATTTGCATCATGAGGTTATTTTCCTGGTATGAAGTCCGTCAGTTCTATGAATATAAGTACCAGCCCAGGAAGGTAGAAGAAGTTGCATCACAATGCTTTATGTTTCTCTCCTAGTCCTTAAGGGATGTTAGAGACCATACGGTCAGAGGTCAATGGAGTTAGACTTGGAGGGAGACCTTAGAGGTAATTGAGTCCAACCCCTTCCATTTTGAAATGGGGAAACTGAGGCACAGAGAGGTTAAAAATGACTTCCCTCATCTAGTCTAACACCCTCATTTTGCAGAGCTGGATATGGAAAGGGTGTGTGTGTTTGTGTGTGTGTGTGTGTGTGTGTGTGTGTTTGTGTGTGTGAAATTTGATAAGGAACACATAGCTACTTAAGTGTCATAACTGATATGGATGCCTAGTCCTTCCACACTCAAGCCCAATGATCTTTCCCTTGTACCAAGCTCCCACCCCACACTGCACTGTGTGTAAGGCCAGCTCTGTTGGCTGGACCACCATGTTAAAATGTCCCCAAGCCATGTCTCACTGAGAGCAAGGTCACTGCTCTGATCTTTCACAATCTGAGGAGAAACTGCTTGGTCCCTTCCCCCACCCCATGTCTGAGAATGATTATTTGCTATGAATAAGTACTGCATCTGCCTACTGCCTGATCTCCATATTGTCATAGCTACTTACTGCCATGGTTACAGAGCAGCCAATCACCTTCCTTGTTTCTCAGAGCAGCAATTCCCCCCCCCCCTTTAATTATCCACCCCAAGCCCCTCCTAGTTGGTACAGGAGGAAAGAGCAAATTCAGGTCTAAGCAAATTGGTTACACCAGATTTTAGGCTAATTTATTTTATTTGCCTGGTTCTCTCTCATTCTCTGGGCTTCTCTTCCCTTCCCCCCACTCCAATCTAATTTGTAGCCCCACAGGGGAAAACCAATACCTTTCTTCATTCAAAAACAATACTGGGTTTTGTCTGAAAGGAATTCTTAAGGGAATAATAATTGGCATTTATAGATCAGTTTGCAAAGCCCTCAACTTTGTGAAGTAAGTTCTATAGGTATTATGCCCATTTTACAGATAAAGAAACTGAGGCTAAGAAAGGATAAGTGACTTGCTCATGTTCATGCAGATAAGAGCTGAATCCAGGTCTGTTACTCTATTAACTGTATCTTACTGCTCAACTGACAGGCATCAGCGGGGTGAACTGAGAAGATCACTACTCCAAAGGGGAAAGATCAGGGGTGAGGAGACAGGAGATATAACATGGTATCATGAAGAGAGCAAAGAGACAGAGGTTTGAGACCATCACTTAGCACCGTGCCTTGCATATAGTAGGTACTTAATAAATGTTTATTGATTAATTTATTTATTGATTGATCAGTTGGTTTGGGGTCAAGTTCTGCCACTAGCCCTGACTTTGGGATGGTCATTTTCCCCTCAAGACTTCAATTTTCTCATTTGCAAAAGGAGAACTTTGGCCTGATAGCCAGAGGTGTCATACCTAGGGCCTTCAGGCTATATGCTGCCCACAACACTCTTGACCGTAGCCCAAAACAGATTAAAATGTTATTGGGAAATATTTAACAAAATAAATGAAAATACAATAAAGCATAGTTTGTATTAATGTATGGGTTCCTAAGTCAATATATAGCCCATGTCCCCATTGTCCTTGTGTACAGTTTAGGGGCCTTCATTGGATGGGAGGGAAGATATCATGGAAGGCTTGATGGAGGAATCCTTACCTTGAAGAAACAAGATTTTAAACATATGGAGATGGAAATAAGAGGAGGCTACTCTAGGTGTAAGGGAGAGGGTGAGCCAAAATGGAATAGGGTAGGACCATTTCAGGGAATAACAGGTAGTGTAATTGAAGTGTGATATACATGAAAAGAAGTAGGGTAGACTGAGGCAGAGCTGGAATTAGAACCCATACCTCTGACTATAATTCTGTGATATCCAGGGAGAGAGAGGCCCTTGAGGGAGAAGCATGGTATAGAAAGAACGAGGAGGAGGAGGGTACTTCTGACTAAAGACCCTGGACTAGAGGCAGTACAACCAAGTTTGATCTTACTCCCTTCCCCCTACAAACTCTTCTATCCAGTGACATTGGCCTCCTGGCTATTCAAACAATAAGACACTCCATCTCTAGGCTTCAGGAATTTTCTCTGGTTTCCCTCATGCCTGGAATGTTCTCCCTACTCTACTCCAGTTACTGACCTTCCTTGGCTTCCTTTAATTCTTAACTAAAATCCCACCTTCTACAGGAAGCCTTCTCTAACACCTCTTAATTTCAGTATTTTCTCTCTTTTAATTATTTCCTATTTATCCTGTACATAGCTTGTTTAGTATTTATTTGTTTGTTTATTGTCACCCCCACTAGATTGTAAGCTCTGATCAACACAATAATCCAAGACAATTCCAAAGGTCCATGATGAAAAATGCTATCCCCACCTCCAGAGAGAGAACTAAAGAACTTTGAGTGCAGATTGAAGCATATTTTTTTTTACTTTATATTTCTTGCTTTTTATTGTGTGTGTGGGTTTGTTTGTTTGTTTGTTTTGTGTGGAATGTTTTGTATGACCTCACATGTGTAATTGATATCACGCTGCTTGTCTTTTCAATGGGTGGGCAAGGGGTGGGAGGGAGGGATAGAATTTGGAACTCAAAAAATTTTTAAATAATGTTAAAACTAAATTTAAAACAATTTAAAAAAAAGATTGTAAACTCCTTGAGGGTAAGGGCTGTCTATTTTGTATCTATTTTGTACCTGACACATAGTAAGTGCTTAATAAATGTTTATTGAACTGAATTGAATTGAATATCAACTCCAAAACTTCTAGCTATGTTTCCTCCTCTACAATTATTTCTTTCATAGAATTGTTGTAGGGAAATCACTTGGTAAATCCTAAAGCAGCCTCAAAAGTCGAATTATTAATTATTATTATCATTATTTCACTATTTCACAATTTTACTGTGAGTGGTCCAAAACCTGGTAAGAATGACCACTTCTCAGGTCCTGCATTCCTCATGCAACTACCTCTTAATCTGCTAGGGGAGATAAGATAAATAATTGGTCTTCCAAATCACCTACACGTCCTGTCTCCCTTTTCTTTCCCAGACCAGTGAAACATGGAGTGGGGGTAGGTCTTGGCATCCAGTTTTGACTCCAGGGTGAGGTCTCCAATTCAACTCTGACCCCACCCCCCCCACTTTACTAGATTCACCACACTAAGAGGTACTTTCCCCCTCCCTGAAAGGAACTCTTTGTTCTTAGGACCAAACTGAGAGCCCTGGGAAGCGACTGATTTCTTGTTTTTTCCTCCTGGATTTTAGAGGGCTGACAGCATCAGAAGAGGGGAAGGAGGCTGTTAAAGCCTGATCTCAAGTCCTATTTCACAAATTACTCCTCACTTGCCCACACACCCTCTGGGGGCCAGATGGGCACGTGGGAGGGCCTGAGAGGAGTGGGCTTCAGAAAGCCACCCCAGATAGGAAGGAAGGCTGGAAGGGAAGGTAGTTCGGGTGTAATTACCTCAAGTATGGGCTGAAGGTATTCAGCAGCTGTTTTTTTCTGAGGAAAATTATAGGAATGGGGGCGGCATCCTGTGAAGGATAGCTCTTTAATGTACCAAGAAGTGTGGAGCTGTTCTCTCCTGTGTATTGTTTCCACCCAGGGGAAAATACAGCAGAGATGGAGGGTGAGTCATCCATTTCAACCCCTGCTTGGATGTATATGGTCTTTGGTTGTAGAATCAGAGAAGCTGAAAACTCA